AATTATAATGGCGACGTACATTTGTAGCCAAGATTCCACAAAGAAGCAGTCAACGGGACAACCACCACAACAAACCTTCTAACTTCGAAATTCTACACAAGTTTTTCTCTTCCATCTTCTCAAAAAATCTATAAAAACCTGTCTAAACCCCTTGATTTGATTCTCATTGATCAATTGGCACTTTTCTTTAGCCCCGTACCAAAATACCAATATTGTAGCACCAACGCGGGCTAGGCATAGTGAGTTCACGGAAAACTCTGTCGGGAAACGCGTCTCAATATTTTTTAGCACTTTCAGAGTTCTTCCAGTCCAGCCCTTATCAAGTAGTTGCTCATTGATCAATCAAAATGGAAAAGAGGTCGAGAACGTTTGCAATTCTTTCGATCTTGATATCTTTAATTTCTTTGACAAAAACTTCTGCTCAACAAAATTGCTCATCTTACAAGTTCAACACCAACAACATTTTTGCCACATGCATATCCCTCCCCGTGCTTAACTCTTTCTTGCACTGGAACTACCATTCCTCCAACCACACCGTCGACATCGCATACCGGCACACTGGAGTGACTGCCTCCGACTGGGTTGCATGGGCTCTCAATCCCACCGGTTCCGGGATGAGCGGAGCTCAGTGTTTGGTTGGATTTCGCAACTCCACCGGAAACTTCCACGTGTATACGTCGCCGGTGGCGGGCTACAGCACACAGTTGGCAGAGGGCACTTTGAGCTTTGGGGTGCCGAAATCTTCAGGGGAGTTTATTAACAATAATACTGAAATGATCATTTTTGCGACCTTACAACTTCCCGCCGGCCGCACCAGTTTTAATCAGGTGTGGCAAAGTGGACCGGTTAGTGGAAATACTCCTCAACAGCACTCCGGGGGTGATAACCTGAAGTCTAGCGGAAACGTCGATTTTGCCACCGGCGAAGTTTCCGGTGACGGTGGAGCTGCTGGTTCTCAGCAACGGAAAAGAAACGTAAGTAAACTAAAAGCTTCTTCTTTTCATGATTAAGGATGTGCGCAGCCTGAAACGTTAAAACGAGATCGTAAGAAAGCAATTACACGCATTGTGTTATAATTTGTTATTATTAAGACAGAATTTGGATTTTGATTCTAGGAATTGACATCAATCCTTATCTAAGAAAAAAAAAAAGAAAAATAGTTTCTATTAGAATAAATATTTCCCTTAGATGTTGCTTTTTTTTTTTTTTTGGGGTTATGTTCAATAATTAGTCTAAAAGTAGTGAACTAAATTTGGTTTGAAAAGTTAAATTTTGCTTAAGTGATACACCAATTAACGAACTGGTCAACGGCAGCAAGTTCAAACCCCCCATCTGCATTTGGAGTTTGCATTGTGCAGTTGTCTAATTAATAATAATTTCATACGCGTCTTCTTCTTGTAATCTCTTATAAAGTTCAATTGAAAACGGAGCCTTTCTAGTTCAATTCTGTCTAGTTGCGTAAGCTGATGGAATTTCGGTATAAACTAGTACAATTTTAGTATAAACATGAATTATAATTGAATTTGTGTAAAACTCTATATAATTACACTAAAAACATATTAGTTTATTATTAAAATTGTGTCAATTTATACAGTTGGACGAAATAGGACAAATCCTCTACTGGAAAGGTTCAGATCCCAATTCAAATTCAATCAACTTCTTCTTTCTCGTTGTCATTAGGGCGATCATCTGGTGTAAATAATTCCCTCTGACCCTAATTCCGTGTATAGCTTAGTTAGGTTTCCTTTCCCGTTAGATTAGAATTATTTTATTTGTAGCCCCTTTTCGCGAAACAGGAAGGTAACTAAGGAAAAATCGTACGGAAAATGTTAGATTATACTACAAGAGTAGGAAAGATTCCTTCATATTTTGTTTCACACACAATGGTAAACAGCATGTGTTCATGTCACGCGGAAAGAGGAAAGGGTGTGGGTAAAGAAAAAATCATTTTCTAACTTTGACCTGTTCGACGGAGGGTTGGTGGCAACTACACCAGTATTGGAACATTAGGCGGGGGAAAAAGGGCTGAGGAAATAAGCTTATAGTTACGACTTCGGAATACAGAATAGGTTTGACTTGTCAGCTGGTAGTGGTTGGTAATTTTATATCGAAAAGTAGTTTGGTAGAAAAATTCAAATTGTGGGTTGCTTCCGGAATATTTCAAGTCCTAGATCTATACTATAGCTAGGATTAGAAGATAGAATATGTTCGATGAATTTCTATTGCATCTTTTTCACAGAACACGACAGGGAATTTCTATTGACACTTTTATTGACTTTGGAGTGCATGAATTAAACAAATATAACGTCAGCTGTTTCGTTGCATTTGCAATCGCTTCGTTTTGTGATAATTTATCCAAAATAAATGTTAAAAAAGTCAAAGGGTTAGGCGTGCTATTAATAAATATAGGGGTGTTAATAATTATATCCAGGCATATCAATTCAGAGTATTTATGAGAATCTAGATTCATGGCCCTCTGATGTGGCTTTATGCAACTTGTCGCGTTTCCTACTAGTTTAATCGGGAAACGGGACCTCTCTAATTCTAGTTTAATTCTAGTTTATAGCTGAGTTGGTGTAAACTAAGGATTATACCAAAAATATATTAGTTTACACCGAAATTATACCAGTTTACACAACTGGACGGAACCTCAATTGGAGAGGCCTCGGATCTGTTTAATTAAATCGAACAACCTAGAAGCAACTAATTATCCATTGATTCATGGATTTCATACCGGGGTTGTGATTAATGAATTGGAAACTGGTACGCTGCAGGTTCATGGAGTGTTGAATGTAGTGAGTTGGGGAATTTTGATGCCGCTTGGTGCTGTGATAGCGAGGTACTTGAAGGTGTTCAAGTCAGCTACTCCAGCCTGGTTTTACTTGCATGTTGCTTGCCAAACTTCTGCGTACATCGTTGGTGTTTCTGGATTGGGAACAGGTCTCAAACTTGGCCATGACTCTGGACTTTCACAAGACACCCATAAGGCCATTGGTATTGCTATGGTCTGCCTCGCAACAGTTCAGGTACCTATTCTTTCTTTAGATAGGTGTTCTCAGAAATCTTGTGACACCTTCTCTCTCACTTAGACTCATTTCAAGATTGTGTTACATTAAAAACTATCCCAACAACACTCTAAAAATCTACTATCCAAAGGGAGACTTTTTTTTTGGGGGGGGGGAGGGGGGGTTATATTTTGTACATACCGGATAAACTTCCAAAAAAAAAAAAAAAAATTGTGCTGTTAGTAGATGAATAGATTGATCGAATACTTGGTGCTAAAAGGGAACCTTTTTTTTGAGAATTATTCACCTTTTTTTTTTTTTTTGGTTTATAGCTTTGGAATTTGGCTTCATTACAGAGTACCTTAGCCAGTTTCTGAAATTAAACAACTTCCTTTACAAATTAGTTGGAGAAAAGAGAGGATTCCCTGTAGGAAATGAGTATATACTCAAAGATTTTATTATCAATTATTCATTAATAAAGATAACTACGCTGCAAGGTCTCTTCTTTTCCTTTTTTTTTCTTCTTTCTTTAATTAGTTTTGTTGGCTATGTACTTGTAGGTATTCGCCTTGCTATTGAGGCCAAAGCCAGATCACAAATACAGATTTTATTGGAACATCTACCACTATGCCGTTGGCTACGCCGTCATTATTCTCAGCATTGTAAACATTTTTAAAGGGTTTGACATCTTGAACCCGGAAAAGAAATGGAAGCATGCATACATTGGTATAATTATAGGAATTGGGGCCATGGCAGCTTTCCTAGAAGCTTTCACATGGTTTATTGTCTTGAGGAGAAAAAAGGAAGGTGGTGGCTCAACCAATAAATACCCTTACAACTCTGATGGTGTAAATGGAGCTAATGGCTATGGGGCCAGGATACAGCAGGCAGTGTAGCTGACGTTCGTATTGATGTCTACCTTGACTCTCGGACTTGTTATTTAGTTATTTCTTCACATGCTTTTGGTAGCTAGTTATAGGGTTTTGGATATGTATTATATATATTGGGAGAGTTTATGTTTGTTTTTTCGTATTATTGACTTAATTTCTTTTATATTGATTTTGTGAATAATGGTTAGAATTTATGTGATGCATTCTTGTATTTAGAGGAAATAATGGGAATGCCTTCTTTTTTTTTTTTTTTTTGGGTAAAGATATTCAATGTCCGCGTCCTTTAGAACATGAATTGATATGGAACACAGAGAAAGGAAATCAGGGGGATGATCTATTAGGATAGCTAAAATATATAATTTGATCATGTAGCATAATTCTTGGCGTGATAAAATATAACTTGAAATGGTAAACTGTACTTGTTTCAGAGAAATTGTCTAGAAATGACAAAAAGAGTAGGTAAAAGGAGTGTACCCTGAGACTATTCTCTTTATAGTGTTGCAGATTGTAATGAAAAGCAGTACACAAAATAATATTAAACAGATATTGGTCTGTCAATGCATAGGCCAATTCGAACAAATATTTCTTGGGGTTAAAAACAAAAAAATCCCATGTGACATATCTAATATACTGAAGGGCATCTCGTAGTTCAAAACATACAAAACGACACCTCATGTTTTGAACCAAATTATAAACTAATAAAATTCGTTAAACTTAACAGAATTCGACAAACTTACCGAAAAATTTAACAGAATCCGATAAACTTAACGGTAAACTTAACAGAATCCGATAAGATTAACAGTCGAGACCGTCATTTTCGTTAACTTTAACGAATTGTGTTAGTTTACAATTTAGTTCAAAACATGATGTATCGTTTTGTATGTTTTGAAATCACGGAGGACTTCTGTATATATTAGGTAGGTATACCATAAGAAGACTTTTTTGTTTTTAACCCATATTTCTTGAAAGATAATGCGTCCTACTCTGATGAATTTCCAGTGAGGCATGCAAGTAAGAGAAGACTTACCTTCTTCCACTCACCCTTGTTTAGAGAAAAGATGCCATTATACTTAAATTTCAAACGGATATTGAATGCTCAAGCAAATGCTCCAGTTAAAAGAGTTAATTAACTCTTATGTTTTTGTATTAACTAATATCAAATGTTCTTGATAGTGCCACTTTACACAGTGAAGTAAGAACTACAAATCGATCTACAGAATGTATATATTTTTTATACTCAAAAAAATTACCTATTAAGCTTGTAGCATGTCGTTAGAGGACAACCTAAGTTCAGAGGAATGTTCTGCTCTCAACTGCACACTTGATTCGGGTGATAAATTCATCAATTGGCATAGTCCCCAACTCCCCGCCATGCCTAGACCTAACAGTTACAGTTTGTGTTTCTGCCTCTTTGGGGCCAACAACAGCCATCAATGGGATTTTCTGCTTCTCTGCATTTCTAATAAGCTTAGGCAAACGCTCCCCACTGCAGATTTCAGTCCGAAGACCGTTAGCTTTCAATCTCCTCCATATCTCGTTGCAGTATTCAAGCTGAAAACAAGAGTGCAATCACAAATTCATGAAAATCCCAAAATCCAAGATTTGACACTATAAGTTTTCTATGCAATTTTGCGCAACCAATTAAGATTAAGCAGTTTAAGAGAAGTCAAATATCCATCCCTAATTCATTTTGACTTAGTTTCCTTACCCTTCTTCTCAGCAACAAATGAGAAAAGAATACATATTAAAGCAAGGTTTGACTATAGGCTAGCTTCCCTAATGCAAACAAACCGTTTAATTCTCACCTAGCCTTGCAACTAAGCCCCCAATATATCTGGGACAATATAAAGTGGCAAATACCTGTGCATCTGTGACTGGTAATATCCGAGCTTGGGTAGGAGAAAGCCACAAGGGGAAATCACCAGCATAATGCTCTATGAGAACTCCAAAAAACCGCTCCAAGGATCCCAGAACTGCACGATGAATCATGAGGGGCTGCTTCTTCTCTTGGTCCGAATCAACATAGGTAATGTCAAAACGCTGGGGTAAATTAAAATCCACCTGTAGGCCAACATAAAGACGAGTAAAGGAAGTTAACGATTCATTTCTCACTTCTCTTTCAGTTGGAATGACCTCATCCCCAGCAGTTTATCTCAAAATCGTAGTTGCTTTACGGAACTAAACCCTTCACTCTACTTTCTTAATTCAAAACTTGAATTTACTCCACTTTATATAATGATTGATGCATAATGTCACAAGTAGGTTACAGTTTCATACATGCTTAAAGATATCTTTTCTATTCCATTCATCGATACTGATTCAACCATGACCCAAGTGAAATGTGAAAATGTTTTCAAAACAGTATCAAAGATGTGTAGGCATACTGGACCAAGTACATTCTTTTTCAGTTCTTCAGTGCATGGAAGGACAAGGATCCTGAAGAAAGAAGCAAAAGATGCAGATAAACATGGACATGCACGTTGAAATATTTCAAATTGTTTTGAAAATCACATTAGCAATCTTTACCTGTATGGTTGAGCATTGCCACTTCCTTCCAAGAGCATCCTCAATTTTGAGATCAATCTTTGGACCATAGAAAGCACCACCACCTTCGTCAATCTGATAGCTCCATCTTTTATCATTTAAAGCATCCTTCAAGGCAGAGGTTGCTTTCACCCATATATCATCGTTTCCCACAGCTTTGTCTGGCCTTGTGGAAAGGTTTACTTCGTACTTATCAAAACCAAATTGCAGCAATATTTCCTCAGTAAGATCCAGTACACCCCTAATTTCATCTTTTATTTGATGTTCTAAACAAAATATGTGTGCATCATCCTGGAAAGTTTACAACCAAAGCAATACCAATATAGTGAGCAACATGTTGCATCTAGAAAAAATTGCATTACAATGAACATGCATCTAAGAAAAAGTGCATAACAATTATGCGAGTCAAAGATCACAAGTACTGTAGTCCCCATCAAGTATAAATCTACCTCACATTAGAGGAAGCATTCTGCCAGCATTTACACTTCTCACAAGGAAGCATAGCTTTTAGGTAATGGATCATACTCTTTTTGATAGAAGGTGTGATCCCACCCCTAAAGATTACAACTTAATTTTTCTCAGTCGAACTTAATTTTGGTTTTGAACTACATTGATATCTCTTTTATTGCATTCATAAGAAAGCATGGATGACTAAAATCTAAGTGAAAAATTAGAGACCACAAAAATCATATTAATTGTCTCCATTATGCTTAGGCATAAACATCAAAAGCACCCTCTTATTGTGTATGATCTCATTTGCTGAGGAAACTGTCACAACATCAGCAATTGACCCTCTGGTTCTTCATGCAATTCAAGTAAAAGGCATGAGACTGTCAGGAATTTAGCTACATTGGTGAACCCATAACAAAGGCCAATCATTTAAATAGTTGATGTCTGTAGGCAAAGGAACTACACCTGGGTAAAACCTCTCACACGGAACAGGCCATGCAAGCTACCAGATAATTCATATCTATATACCGTTCCAAGCTCTGCAACCCTGATTGGAAAATCCCTGTACGAGTGTAACTTCCTTTTGTAAACAAGTATATGGTAAGGGCAATTCATTGGCCGAAGCTGATAAAGTTCTTCCTCAATCTCCATCTGATCAAACATATTTTCTTTGTAGAAATCCAGATGACCACTGATCTTCCATAGATCTGCCTTTGCCACATGTGGAGTGTAAAGTAGATCATAACCACGTTGAATATGAATCTTCTTCCACGCATCTTCTATAATATGCCTTACAACAGCACCCTTGGGATGCCAGAACACTAACCCTCCACCCGCTTCATCCTGTAGTTTTTAAATTGACAAATTTATGCTTTATGATCCATGGTAAATGCAGCAATCAAGATACTTCACAAGTAAGGCTAGCATGAGGAACCAACTAGCTCAAACTACACGGACATGTATAACTTGTCCTACCTATACCTGTATAGAGAACAGATCAAGATCTTGTCCAATTCGCCGGTGATCCCGGCGTTTTGCTTCTTCTTTAAAATGAAGGTATGCTTTCAATTGTTCTTCATCTTCCCATGCTGTACCATAGATCCTTTGTAGCATTGGCTTATTTGTGTCTCCTCTCCAGTAGGCACCGGCAACTGATTCAAGTTGAACAGCTTTCCTTCTAATATTTCCTGTCGATTCAACATGAGGCCCAGCACAAAGATCCCACCATTCATTGCCTGGTATAAAGACAACGAGCAGTGAGTATGAAAATAAACAAATGAAAAGAGCATAGGTTTATAAGGACGAGGTCAGTGTGCAGATTAGTACATCCAGCAGATTATGTAGACATCATAATAACTCATTCCTCCTGTCTTACAATTACAGAAGAACTTCAGAGCAGCTCATTAAAAACACCACACTGATGTGCCAAGTATTTCTGGCCACTAAAACGAATCAATTATCTTCAAATGCTATAATTAACAACTGTATTTCAAATTTCTTTTGTCTTTAATAGTTTGAAGTTCTGCAGCAGCTACCCCACCTAGAATACACGACCCTATAACCAGAAAGTCCTACAAGCTTCATCAAATCCTACTGATTTCACATGGTTTGTATTTTCTTAATAGGACCTATTTTCAACAAGAACACTATGCGGGATTAACCTAAAGGAAACCCCTACTTTTCAAAAATTGGGTGTGCTTTGACTGGATGTATTTCCTTTCAAATATCAGAGTTAATAATTCTTTTTTACAACCCACTTACAGTGTCCAACTAAGCTCAAGCATAGCACAGTTAAATCAAATTCTGGTATGGACAGTGCAATACTTCTTCACTTCATTCTCTCCTTTTCTTATCTCTACCCTCTCTCCAAAGGTATATAAATAATCAGACACAAAGTCGAAGCTATAACACTTCACAGCATTACAACCTAGCAGAGCCTTGGACCAAATACCAAGTTTCCGGGTAAATTAGTTCATCAAAAAATTTTATCAGATTCTGAACCAACCCAAGTACGTATCACTGAGACAAATGCAAAACTCTACTCATATGCAGAAGTTCCATTAAAATTCTAAATATTCTTTCTATAACAAATAACTAATACAACAACAGCCACTTCAGATGACAAGTGCTGCAAGTGATGTGTAGGCATGCAGAAAAACCCCACAAGATTTGCAAAACACAAGCACTATGACAAATTTACCACGGGAGGACAACAAAATTCCCAACAGTTTGAAAAGCAAATAAGTTTTAAATATAACTGAAGATAAAAGTTGGAGGACAAAAACCTCAAGGCAGGGGAGGAGAAGGGGCTAGGAGAAGAGAGGGGGCAGGCAAGAGGGTTGATTGGATTATTTGAAGGGCTTTACCAATATGATATATGGTGATAGGTTCCTCCTTAATGCTTTCCAAGATTTCTATCTTGTAAGGTTCATTGACAGCAAGTATCCTTCTTTGAGCTTCATCTCGGCTAACTTCTTCTCTAATTAGTGGTAAGTTTTGCCCAATGATACAATCCTACAGATGATTCAAGAAATAAATTCTGTACCCAGAAAGTATAGAAAATGAATATTATTCAGCACTGTCACAGTGAACACCCATATAACAGAAAGGGAAAAAAAAACAAAATAATGAGCCTGCTTACCATTTCCTTCTTGATTTTCTTGAGGTCCTTGTCAGTTAATGGCTCCATATCAAAGTCATAGTAAAAACCATTTTCAATCCATGGACCAATTGTCACTTTTGCATCTGGGTAGAGCCTTTGAACAGCCATAGCCATCACATGTGCACACTGCAAAAAGAAGTTCTTTTCAAACAGGCAGAAATTCTGCAGCTAGAGTTCTGTACTTTCTTCTTCAGTCATAGGGTATCATTGAAGTTCTTTTTGCCAGTTCAATATCTATAACTCTTAGTGCACTTGGAAATAAATAGAATGATAAAAGGAAAAGTAAACAAAACTAAGAATGAGTAAAATGAAAATTCAGAAAGGAAGAAACTACACAAAACACCACATTGTTGTTTTTTTTATTTCATACTGCTACCTGCTTTTTGTAAGCATTGAGGTTGCTGAAAATGGATTGTGCAAGAAAGTTGGTTTTCCAGATCTTTCATCACAATGTACCACATCTCTGAAGTGCAATATGTGTTAGGAATACGAACTCCAAAATTCTACTCTAACTGAAATAATAATCAACTGCAGTTTGGGTTCCCACTTTCTAACATTGTAAAAGCAATGACTCCCAAGTTGCTTTTCCAGAAAATTCTTTGTAAGGGAGACATCAGTTACATTTCTTAGATTCCCCTAACCAATGTGGTTCCTTCTCCCACTTGCGCAGTTTGAAAATGCCAAAAAAGGGGAAACATACATGATTTTGTAAAGCTACAAGACTCCCATAAAATCGTGGCAATAAAAGAGAGGATTATCAGATGGAAATAATCTACTCATGGAATTAAGGAATCTTCATTCTTTATAAATTTTACCATAGTTGCAAATACACTGCTTCAGATCAAAAGTCTGTCCGCAAAACTACTTTCATCTGCTCCAACCCAAAGACAGAAATATTTGAGCTTATTTTTGTGATAAAGTCACCCAATACAAAATTTAGTTAAAAGGGACCGGAGGCAGACAAAGCTTAATGCCTTCGAGCAGTTTGATTTGGTCAATCAGCCGCAAAGTATAGTCATATAGACATATAGGACAAGCGAACGAGACAGATGTATGCTGCTTCTCTTGTTGTGAGGAATTAACAGCAGGTTAATACCAACAGGAGTTCAAGTGTAGAACAAATTGTTCCCTTCTCATTGCTCTAGAATCAAGCATGATTTGTACACACTTGAGTCTGCCTCCTGGAGGCACTCTGATGTTGCACTCGGTCAAACATTAGGGAAGGACTATCTTGATGCTGAAGCCCATCCCTAAAGCATTCGGAGTGAACTTCCACTTGCTAACAGAAGATCTGCACACAGTTAATGCATAAGCCATGCCAAGACACTCTAATCCTCCCCAGCTAATGTCAATATCTGCATGAGCTCACCATCTTTGGTGGCCCAGAATAATTGAGAAACTATACATTTTTCCCCTTCTCTACAATTGAAAGACAGACCAAATGAAGGTAACTTAACTGCTTATCTATGTGTTTAAATAAACAAGAATCCTATGACCAAAATATTCCTTGATGCTCTTATACCTGGAAAAATGAACATCTCTAAACCACTTGTTCCCCATAGGCCACACAAGAATGGGTTGAGTTTCTTCCATTTTCAATTCCTAAAAAAAAAAAAGAGAAAAAACCATCGGTTATCACAATCACAAGAAAACCTTGATGAGTGCACTTTTAGCTATGTCAATAGCAGCTTCACATTCCATAATATATTTTAAAGCCAAATAGCTGTCTCCACACCCCATTTACCTCCAAACTTCCACCAGCTTGGCCTTTCTGACAGACTAAGTATCGTTACTGCTAATTTTTTTTTTTTCTCTTTTTGCATTTACATGATTGCAATATTTGTCTTCACATGCTCATGATATCCTTTTCACCACTGCTTATATGTACTGTAAAGAGCTTGTTCATTTTAAAAAATAACAATAATTGTTAGGAAACTAAAATTATCCCACATTGATATACCAAGGATTGCCAGCCATATATATAAAGATCTTGGGCCACTCCACTCATTGCCAATTGGTTTTGAGATGGAAGCCCAAGTTTTTTATTGTGGTATCAAATTCCGGTTACGACAACTCCCCCAATATTAGGGTCCAATGTAGACACTCAGATGAAAGGTTGATGCTGTCCCAACCTAGTATCCGGAGTGTAATGGGGGAAATTGTTGAGTTTATCACACATCAATAGTAGAAGGGACAGGGTGCTTTGGTTATAAGTATGATGGAAAACTTCACCCCTTGAGCTAGCTTTTGGAGTAAGAAGGCCCAATAGCACCCTGCCTCTTCCACAATCAATTGGTTATAAGTGTGAGGGAAAGCCTCACCCCTTGAACTAGCTTTTGGGGTAAGAAGGCTTCCTACCCCTTCCACAACCGATGTGGGATAAACTCAACAATCTCCTTCGTCACACATCGGACACTAAGTTGGGATAGCATCAACTTTTCATCCGAGTGTCTACATTAGACCCTTGTATTAGGAGAGTTGTTGTAACTAGACTTTGTTACCATGATAAAGAACTTGGGCTTCCATCTCAAAACCAATTGGCAATGTGTGGAGTGGCCCAAAATCTTTATATATGGCTAGCAATCCTTGGTATATCAATATGGGACAATTTTAGTTTCCTAACAATAATAATTGAGAAACACCCAATAGACACTAAATATAGGGCAATGGTCAAAAATCCATTGCAGAATAAGGTGTCCAATATGACAGCATTCTCTCAACCAGGGCTTCGGCACATATCCACATTTGGTATATCCCTGCTTTGACCAAGATCTTTGGGGATGATTAGCTTCTTTGACTCAATATCTAAAGGATTTATCAGGAACTCAAAAAAAATAGAGATAAAAGATTCTAATTTTCTAATGGAGTTAATTTATCTAAATCTTTAACAACAGTAAAGAGACATTGTTCCAACTGTTTGAGTCAGCAATGGTTAGCTTTAGTGATAATGAAATTCTCGAGCATCCTATGAAACCTCAACAATTGTTGCACTGGTAAAATTGAAAACCTCCAATGCACTCAAAGCAAAGTGTAGCTGCTTCCGCATTTTATTACAGGAGTTCGTCACAAGTTCCATGAGGGAAAAAACATTGATCGTTGTTCAATTTATAAACTTCTCACAAATGCCGCTCGTACCTAGACTACAATAATTCAATTATTTTTGATAAACCTATACCAAAGTTAATGACATTTTTTATCAAATAGCTTAAAATATCAAAATAAAAATGTCAAAAGAAATGCAAGTCACAATTATTTCAATTTAGATAATTCAATAAATAGAAAAAAAATTGGAGTTATTATTGACATAGTACCTTACATTGCATGATATATATGTCCTAAAAGACAACAACAGAGTTTTATTTTTGTCATTAGCCATTGTTGTCAAGTAGAAGGCGTAAGTCATCTACTCAACAAGGACGAATTGGTTATTTGTTAGTTAACGCTCAAAAGGTTTAAAATATACTCAATATTTAACTGGATTTCTTAGGAGTCCATCTCAATGAAGGTCCTTTCAATAGATTGGCATCCTTTAACATTCATTTCAAAATTAAACAAAAGAAAAAAGCCTTCTTCAAATGGAAGTACATCACAAGAAGACCAATCATAAATGCTGCAATCTATGCTTAAATTCATGTTGCTTCATCATAGATCATAAACTACCTATAGATTTGCAAAAAATTATACTTCACCTTTTTATATGTAGATCTTCATGTTTGAGCTAAATTGACTAATGACACTAGTTAGCCCTATTAATTATTGCCCTTGTGTGTTGTTACAAATAGCTTCTTAGGGTAGTATTAATAAGTTGCCTGTTGGGTTTCATTCAGCTTTCTATTTATGATGCGGGTGGAAGCCCAAGAGGGAAACTCATAATTCAATTCAAAATTTATTTATAAGTGAACCAAAACAACACCAAGTGCAGGGAGGCTGGGATAGCACAAAATGTAAGATTCTAAGATAGAATTTACGGACACGAAACTCTCATTGACACCCCAAACAAGAATTGAAAGTAATCCAACACAATGTTGAAAAGAGAAATTCGTATAAGTCTAACTCTAAGCTAAAAGTCTTATCTAAAAAGGAGTCCCTCTCCTCCAAGTAAATAACTAAACTGCAAACACAAAACATGAATCCTGAGGCTGAAAAAATTAAAAAAAAAAAAAGGAAACAACAAGTCCTAATGCAAATAGTCAATAAAGTACAACTACATCAGCAGCGCCGGTACTCATGAATAATAATTTGTGAACGTTAAATTTCCTTGCATCACATTAATTGCATTCTAACAATTGCTTTATACTTTGACCATGGAAGAGGACCATCCAACTAAACTGGGATGATGAATCCCCATTCATCATCTGCAACCTCAATATGCTGCAATAAGATCACATTTCCAGCAGCAGAATCTGATTTCTGTGATGGTACTCTTATCATTCCTTGAAGATGTCGCAGAAGTAAAGGACCATCTCATAATACCCTTGCTTCTTTAATTTCATTAATTTCTCCTCTTAAAAGCCTATAATGCTTCAAATTAGTAGAGTTTCAGTTTTAGACTCCGAATATCCTGTCAAATGAGTCATAAAACATGAATGTTTACATGTGTAAAGACCAATTCATTGTCAATTTAATCACTGGAAAATCAACACATTAAAAAAAAATATGTTTGAATCAACAACTCTATAATTTTCCTACACTTGACAAAATTCAAAATTTCCAAAACCAGGATTCTCCCACTTTGTTTTACCCCACAAGACAAAAAGAAAAACTCTAAATAATTTCTCTTGCATTTCTTTTCTTCCCACCTTAGCTACTATGTACAACTGTTTGTAACATATACAATTCATTATCTCATTTAATTTTCCACATATTGCTACAGATATAAGTGGTCTAGATGTTCCCCACTGTCTCTTCGCATTTCACTTAATTGATACAGTAGATTTCAATTTTTTTAACGTCACCTAATTGAAGTACAATTACTTTCAATTTCATCCCTTATCAATACTCATTTCGCGTCACACCAAGACATTCAACTTGAATCCAACAGAGAATATGATTAATTCCCAAATAACAGAAAATTTCAACCACCTGGTGCATATTACCTTTGCGCATCATATCAAATGGACAACATCCAATTGCTTCTAGCTACTAATTATTTCACCCAAAAATCACTATGCCAGATCAGCATATATCCATATAATAAACTAACAAAAACCATAAAATCTTTTCCAGTGTAATCTCAGTTTCTTACTGTATGCCGAATTCTTAGCAGTATCTCTGATGATTCGTTAGTTGGAAGCACGACTCTGCCCTCAGAAGATGAAACCCCATCCTTTTTCCCTTCTTCTGTAGACACAGCAGCAGCAGTGGAGCCCGAAGAATCAGTCGCCAAAGCCCAGGATAGGGGAACTCCATTCCTCTTGGTTCCACAAATTTCACCACTTTTACTGCTAGAAGTCCTACTGAAAGATGAAAAATTGATTACAGTTTCTGTGCTCCGTGGGATAGAGGAGGAGAAAACGGGAAGTGGGTTCGACAGGAGTCGGAGAGAAGGGGTTAGTAGAGGGTTCAAGGAGGAGTACAATGATGACGCCATGCGGTGGGGGAGAGAAGCCACCATTGAGGATGGTTTGTTGGTGGCTTTTCTTGGTGTTCGGTAGGATTTTGGTGGTGTGGCTCTTAGCTGTGGTGGAGGTTGGGGGCAATTAAGCAAATCACGCATCATAGCCCCAGGGGCCTCACAAGATTTCTCACAAGTCTGTCCGTGGTGTAATTTACCCAACAAAAAATGTAATTCACAAAAAAATAAAAATAAAAATAAAAAATTGGTGAAACAAAATATTTATGCTAATTGCCGTGAAAAAATGGAGTAACAAAAGTTAAAATTACTAATTTACCTTGAAATGGGGGTAAATTGGAATTTGGGAGGCCTAGATCCACCTTTATCATATCATATGTTATCCAAGAAAATTTTAGAATACATTTTTAGGCAAATTTCATGGATAGGATGAAATGCACCTTATGGATGGATGAGATGAAAGGGAACAAAGGGTTAAGGCAATCACCATAGCTATGTTAATGGGTAGCGTATTAACGAAAATCCAACACCCGGGAGATTACTATTTATCTAAGTAAATCTGGTTCTTTATGATTGAAATCCAAATCTAAACCCAAATTTTGGGTTTTGTATGATTTCTATTTAAATCTAAATCCAAATTTAGACTTTACCGAGACCTATTTATATGCATATATGTGACTATGTCTTATGATATTTTGGTAATTAAGGATACTTTTTTTATATTAGCTTGAAATGGCTAACATTTTTTTCCCTATAAATGAATGTCATTGGTTAATTTAAGTAAGCAAAATTCTAATTAAACAATAGGATAGATATCCACCCATAAACATTGTACACATGCGTGTTTTTATATTGAATTAATATGTTTAAAAGAAAAAGAGAAAAAGCGGAGTAGGTTTAAAAACATGTAAGATTAAATGTTAAGTATAGATGAAAATTTTTAAACAAATAAAATTACTTTGCACAAAACATTCTTGAATGCTGATTTTGTTTTCTAGAAAATCTATATCTATATAAATTTGAGAAGGGATTTTTAGCAACAAGCTTCTACACATCTTCCCACTCCCAATTCCATTTTTCTAGCATTTCATATTTAATTTAATTTATAAACTATATTCCCCTCAACTTCCACATTTATTCTTCACATTTGAAATTGTTGATTACTTTTTAAAATCATTTTATTTCAAATTGTTAGATAACGTGCATGTTATCCTATTTGAACTTCAACCCATCATGTTTCTCCATTGCCTTGCGTTATTTATGATTCTAATCCAATTAAGACTTCTATAAAACCATAAGAAGAGATAACAAATATAACATCCTTTCACGCTTTCTTATTAATTTAAATAAGTAAGAGGAAATGTATTTACACTCCCATTTTTTTTATTCACACTTCAATAATCATTTCGATCATAGTTTTCATTAATTAGATTATATGATAAAGCAAATGGTGGGATTGTAAATAATAAAAAATGGAGTGCAAATAATATTATCCTAAGTAAGAAGTGACTTTCATACCTTTCTAATTTAAATAAGTAAGAAGTGACTCCACTTATATAGAAATTTGGTTTGAAGTTTATTAGTGTGAGGGTAAATAAAGAGAAAACATTGCCAAACTTAGTAAAAGTAAAAAGTATATGATAATATTTTATCTTTTAACTTAGTAATCCTACCCAATAGGGTAAAATTAAATAGAAAACAAAAAGGAAATAATGTCATGGATTTAAAAAATCAAGAATGATACTATTCATGAAATCTAAATTATGAAATCACTAAATAAAAAACAAAGTACTACTGGCCTTTTAACATGGAATTTTTTTTTGAAATATTCATTTTTGATAAAAAATAATGATAATAATAACACCAATTCTACCAAAAATTTTAAAAAAATAACATTATAGTTTAAGAGAAAGATATAGAGCATTCGACCTTCAAATACTACTTAATTTGTATGTATTCGACCCAAATTTGACCCTGATTAGAATTGAATAAGAGTGCAAAATCCAAACACTAAAGATAAATTTTGGTATCATTAATTATTTTATGTATTCTTATTGTTGTTTTCATATGTAAATATGTATTTGCTATGTTAAAAAATATATATATATATATATATTTTGATTGTAGTAGAGGATATTATAAATATTATCAGTTTTTCATTTCCATTTTTAGATGCTAATAATTGCAATCATTGTAATCAATTTTCATTTTTATATTTTCATTATTCTAGGCAAAGTTAAATATATTGGATCACGGGGATATGAATCTAGAGGTTGGGTGTGGGGGGAGAAGGGAGGGAAGGGAATGGTGAGGTTAGGGCTATCAACGGTCCGGGTCCGGGTCCGGACCAGCCAATATTTACCGGGTACGGGTAGGTATATAGATCCATGACCCGGACCCGGACTCAAACCCAGACTCATATTATCTAATAAAATTGCGGATCGAATACGAAATATACCATTTCGACCAGTATCCGACCCGGACCCATTTTAATTAATTAACAATTAAAGATATATACCTATATGTCGTAATTATTCATACCAATACATACTTTCATTCCCATTTTGTTCAACCTAATACCCACCGCCCCGCACTCTCTTCTCTTTTGCTCTGCCTCTCGAGTCCCGCCTCCGCTGGTCACCAGACAGTTGGACCGGCGACGCTTCTATTTTGCTCTCCATCCCCAGCTCCAAAGAAATCGCCGGGTCTGGCCAGCTCCAAAGAAGCAAGCCCAGCTCTTCCGTGAGACTTCTCTTCTCTTTTGCTCTATCCCCGCAGCTCCGCCAGTCCGCCGTGACGCCTGATGGTTGCAGCAAACCCAACTCTTCCAGGCTTCTAGTTCTAATAGCCCAGCTTTCTTTCTTACAGTCAGGTATTTTGTCTCCAGTGAGTCTCCCAAAATTGCGCTCTCTTGGGAGAGATTTTCATTTTTTTCATTTTTTTTTTGTTGGGGGGTAGGTGTACGGGGGGTTTTTGAAGAAGAGGGGGCAGTGATGTAGGAAATTGTTGTGGTACAGAACCTAAAATCCAGTTGGGAATGGAGAAAAGAAGTACTGAAGTATTCAAACTTTGAACAATACTCAAATGAAATGCGAATCAATGGATCAATTTCCAATTTTATTGATGAACATTTAAATTGGATACAGAAACAGAATTTGGCGGGAAAGAGGAGGAGGGGAAATAGAATGCAGGAAATTAAGGGAAAAGACAGAGGGAATATTTCCTCTCTGATTGCAGAAATCAATCTTGACAAACGACCCTTAACTATTACATAATCGATCTATTTATAAAGAATTATCTAACTAACTTCCTTCCCTAGCTAATAATCAAACGCCACGTGTACTGGGAATCTTCAGGTTGTTGGATCACAACTTCCGCAGGGACAGCATGAACCCAGAATGGGCGTGCTTCATTGGTCACGCCTTTGGCATATCTTTTCACGCCTTCTCCTTTGTTGACTCCACGCCTTCTTCTTGCTTTTGTATTGGTTATTCGTTGCTCTTGTCTGTCCACGCCTTCCAGTGTATCTTCTTAGCTTCTCACGCCTTTCCTTATCTGCCATTCACGCCTTCTGTTCCCCAGTCCCCTACTTCATGACAATACTCCCCCCTTGAAAGCAAATCTTGACCTCAAGATTGGAAGGTGGGAAATTGTTGTGTTATCTCCTCAGCGAGCTCCCATGTGGCCTCTGCCGGGTCTGTTCCCCACCAATGGATTAACCACTGTGTTGCAGCAGCATTTCGTTTCTTCACCACCCTTCTGTCAAGCACTGCCACTGGTTCTACTCTCCAATGTCCCTTTTCATTTGTGTCAGGCAACTGAAGTGTGGGGGTGACTTTGTGTCCTATCTTCCGCTTGAGCAGGGATACATGGAAGACAGGATGGACCTTTGAGGGAGATGGTAGGTCCAGTCTGTATGCCACTTTTCCTATCTTCTCCTCTATCCTGTAAGGGCCATAATATCTGGCTGAGAGTTTGGTGTTCCCTCTCAAGGCTACTGAAGATTGTCTATACGGCTGTAGCCTCAAGTATACCCAATCCCCTGCATTGAACTCCCTCTCACTTCTCCTCTCATCAGCATACCTTTTCATCCTCTCCTGAGCCTGCTTCAAGTTCTGTTTTAGCACGTTATCAATCAGCTGTCTCTCTTTGATATAATCACCTACTGCAGCCACCCTGGCCTGCTGGTAAGGCCCCAGAGCCAGTTGGGGAGGGGGGAGGCCATATAATGCCTCAAAGGGGGTCATCTGAATAGCAGTGTGGTATGAGGTGTTGTACCACCATTCTGCCATAGATAACCACTGGTTCCATTTCTTAGGCTCGATATGTGATAAGCATCTGAGATACATTTCCAGCACTTGGTTTACCCTTTCTGTCTGGCCATCAGTTTGTGGATGATAGGCTGTGCTGTAGTTCAGCTTAGCCCCCAATGTATTGAACAGTTCTCCCCAGAATTGACTAACAAATATCCTGTCCCTGTCTGATAGCATGTTCTGAGGCATCCCATGCAACTTGCTGACTTGATCAATGAAGAGCCTGGCAACCTTTGGGGCATCGAATGGATGTGTGAGACTGATGAAATGAGCATATTTTGTGAACCTGTCCACCACTACCATTATAGTATTCTTCCCTTCTGATTGTGGTAACCCCTCAATGAAATCCATGGTGACATGACTCCAAGAATGCTGAGGGATAGGTAATGGCTGTAGTAGACCTGGATAGGCTACATGTTCATCTTTGCACTTTCTGCAAGTGTCACATTCCAGTACCTTCTCCTTGATAGTTTTGTACATCCCTGGCCAGTAGAACAGATTTTTGGCTCTCAGGTAGCTAGCTTGGATTCCTGAGTGTCCTCCCACTTGGGAGTCATGTAAAGCAGTGATGATCTTCTCCCTGATGTCTCCCTGATCTCCTACCACCAACCTCTTCTTGTACCTGAGTATACCATCATGGTAAGAGTAATCAGGTACATGTGTGGGGGTCAGTAATACCTGAGATATAGTTTCCTTGATCCACTCATCCTCTTTATAGCTCTCCAACACTTCCTGGATCCATGTAGGTATTGCACATGATATGGCAGAGCATTCCCTTGTCTCCTCTCTGCTATGCCTAGAAAGTGCATCAGCAGCCACATTGTCTT